TCCATTTGTGACAATACGGCATCCAAAGTAAAGTTTCATGCGTCTATTTCCATAAAAATGGCTTAGAAAAATTGATGCGATACAAGATTAGTGCAGAAACAAAGGCTGTCTTCAAAGCTTCAAATGCAACATCTGCTTCTTGATTCCATTGAAGTTTATCTTTACAAGTCAAATGTATAAGTGGAACTACAGCTTGAAAGAAGTATTTGATGAAGATCCGATAGTAGTTGGCAAATTCCAAAAAGCATTGGACATCTCTTACCATTTTTGGGATCTTCCAATCTATAATAGTTTGAACTTTTTTAGGATCCATCATAAGTCCATCATTTGAAATGATGTATCCTAAGAAGTCGACTTGAGTAGTGTGAAATATACTTTTCTATCTTGGCATAGAGTCTCGCATCTTAGTTTTTGTAATACATAATGAACATGAAGTTCATGTTCTTCTATATTCTTAGAATAGATTAAGATGTCTAGGTAACAGACAACAAAATCATCTAAAAACTCCCGAAAGACATCATTCATTAGATATTAGAATGCTGCTGGTGCATTTGTAAGTTCAAAAGACATGACATTGTATTCGAAATGTCCATACCTTATTCGAAACGTAGTCTTCCATTCCTCTCCTTTTTTGATGCTTACTAGATTGTATGCTCCTCGTAGATCTATTTTTGTATAGATCTTAGCTTGATTCAACTGATCAAGGAATTCGGATATCAAAAGTAACAGGTACCTATTTTTTATAGTGATTTTTTTGAGTCCTCGATAATCAACACACATCCACAATGATCCATCTTTTTTCTTCACAAATAAAATTGGAGCTTCTACTAGAGATTTGGAATGGCATATGAAGTTCTTGGCCAAATTCTCCTCAATATACTCCTTGAGTTCACCCAACTTATTTTGAGATAAATTTTAGATTGGTCCAAATGGCGGTTGTGCTCTTTCTTGAAGGTCAATTGAGCAGTCATAGGAACAATGTTTTGGAAGAGTATCAGCATTCTTCTTTTCAAATACATCTTGAAAATCTTGATATTGGCTTGGAATGCCACTTAAAGTCTTTCCACCAATAGAAACAAGTGTGGCATAAATGACACAAGGTGATCCTTCTTTTGTAGCATGCAAGAAAATTCTTGCACCTACAAATATAGGTTTAATTATACTAGATTTATGACTTTCTACTTGATTAACTATGCTCTTAGTTATACTTTTAGAAAAGTCAAGACTACGAGAAGTTCAATCTATTTTAGGGTTATATTTTTTTTAGCCATGATAAACCTAAAATGATTGGATTAAAAAGAGATCTAATGATATTAAATATTATAAAGCTACTATGAGCATTAATTGTTATTTCTATAGGAAGGGTTTCATGAGTTACATCTCCTAAAGATAACGGATGACCATCTATGACTTCTACATGAACAGATTTAGTTTTCTTCACTAAATATATGCTATGTCTTTTAGCAAATTCTTCATCTAAGAAATATGTTGAGGCTCCTGAATCTAATAAGGCAGAGGCTTTATGATGTTTAGGTCCTAAAATAACATTTATTGTAAAACATGGAGAGGGTTTTCAGGAGAGGATATGACCTTTACTAGGCATTGTACAAGGTTTCAACCGCATGGTTCCTATTGTAGTTGGATAATTTTTTTTTTCGATATGTTATCTTCTTTGATCGCCGTACTTCTCATTTTATGGTTGCGTCGCTTCTTTAGGCAATGTTGAGCAGTTTGCTTAGGTTCTCCACAATATAAGCACAATCTTTCTTAATGACGACAAATCTTTTTTTGCTCAATAAGAGGTTTAAAGCATACCACATCAATTTGCATATCTTCTACTTCTGAATGTATGTGTTGAAGAGATGTTGGTATTGCCATTGAATTATAGTAACGTTGAGGTCCACTTGTATGGTTCTCAGATCAAAATTCAAAAAAATGATTGTCGCACTTCATAGCAAAGTCAATTGCTTGACTCAATATTTGAGGATCAGGTAAGTTGAGCATTAATTTTTTTTACCTCATATTGTAATCTGTAGAGAAATTGGTTAATAAATGTAGCATCATCCAACTTGATATCAGTTAAAATTATGAAGCATACAACGTTACTGATCGATTGCCTCATTGTAAAATACAAATCTTATTGGTTGCAACATGAATTACATCATGTTCTCCATACATAGATTGAAACTCTGCCAAAAAAACCTCTAGATTATCCAATATTGGATCTCGTCATTCAAGAAAAGACAAAAACCATAATAATGCTGAACTTGAAAGAAGCGTAGCAATGAATCTAACTTGCAATCTTGAAGTTGGATAGCTTTGGAGTTGAAGTTCAATCATAAGTTGTACTTGATTGATAAATCCTCTAAACTTTCATCTAGTGCCATCAAACTTCTCAAGTAAGATAATTCTTGGTTCTCTAACACTAGAAGGACGTTCCATCATAGGAGAAGAGACATGATTTGGTGCAAATATTGAAGCAGCTCCAATCATTTCTATATCTTCACTTCTTGTCAATCTTGTTGCTCTTTGTGGTGGTAAATTGAGTTGATGCATCGCAAGTATTAACTCCCTCAATTGTTCTTGCATTTGTGTCATTCCTCTCTTCATTTCAACAAGTTCTACCATGATAACACTTAGAAAAGACAAGATATCTAATATCGCTCAAGACAAATAGAAGAGAGGACTTAAGAACAAAAAAAATACTAAGGACAATATCAGTTTAGAAGAGGATAATCTGTAACTTCTAACATGCTTATGACTTATCAAGAGAAAGGGATAATCCACTCTTAATCAAGATTAGACAAAGCTCTAATATTGTAAGTATACTCTTGTCAATCTGTCAAGGACAAGAACATGATAAAAAAAAAACAAACAAGTGAGACTTCTCTCAAAGAAAGATAACAAAATAGAAATAACTTGATATGTATATTAAGAAAGAAACTAAAATAGCTATTGCCAAAAGCTAAGAAAACTAGAGACCCTTGAGACTAGATTGAAAGCAAGAAAGGAGTTGACAAGAGTGAAGAAGGCTTCATTCTTGTCTCTATATATACTATCTAACTAGGGGCTACATGGCAATGTTCTATAGGACCTCCAATATGTGTTGACTTTGTAGTACACATGCCTTGACTTACAAGGCAAGTTTTTCTACGTGTGAGCCACATAGTTAGCTTGGTCTTCAAGATAACAATATGTGTGGCACATGACCAACTTGTTGATTACATTTTTAATCCAAAAAGTCAATTAAAGACACCTATAAAGTCAAAGCACTGTCTAGGAAGCTTTTATAGCAAATATTATGGAATTAATTTACTTTTACCTACTTTTATTTACTTCTACTTATTTATACATATAATTACTAGCTTATATGTGTATGTTTGTGATAATGGTAGCTGAGCATGATCCTTATTGTAAAAATAAGAGCTTGATTTCTACTACTATTTTTCAATTGTTTTCTCTAAATGCATCCATAGACACTTCTAAGAATGAATTCAAATCCTAAAAGAGTCACAAATCTTTTTCCATCAAAGGTACAAATCAAAAGAGAGTACTTCCAAATAGAAATGTGTCTATGAACTCAATTTGAATAAATCCATCATGGTATTGGAAGGAATGCAATCTTAGATAAAGCTTGAATTATTATAGAAATCTTTAATATTTTGATCTTATTCTAGTAAACTTCTTATGCATATTAATCTTTATTCCTATTGTATCTATAAAAATATAATTTCTTCGATTTGATTGTGAAGTCAATCTAGTTGCATCCTTCAACTATATAATTTCTTAATATAGACTCTAAATTTCTTTTATAGGCATAGAATTAGTATTTTTGTCGTTGGCATTGGTAATGCATAAAATTTCTATCCTAAAAATGTTAACAAGTTTGTAAAGTTCTATAATAATTGCAAATCTATTTTCACTTCTATTAAGTATAACATCCATAATTTTTTGTTCTATTTCAAACAACTTAACAAATTTACAAATCAAATTAGAAGAAGATAATCCACAACCTCTAATATCAAATGAAAATTTCTTCAAAGAAAGATAATTCACTCTCTTTAAAAAAAAAGTCAGTCTTAAAAAACTAAACAATTTGTTTAAAGGTAGATAATGTGCAACCTTTAAAATACAATAGAAGTGCGATAATCCATTTACTTTTAAAATAAGATAAAAATAATAAATTAGCATTCTTGTCAAACTATCAATGATAAGACTCTCAAAAAAAGAAATTCTCAATACACTCTTATGTCATTCAAAAAGATTATAAAATCATTCAAAGATCATAATATATTGAACTAAAATGACTATTGTCAAAGATAAGAATAACAACTTTATTCTATTGCACAAAGTATAACCATATCAACAAACTCAAGCAACTGATCAATTAAGAATTTTTTATAAACATTCATATGTGATTTTACAAATCAAAATCCTTTGATGAGGATAGAGCTGATAAAGTAATTGTGAATTTCTTGTCTGATTGGAAACAATACTTCAAAACATCACGTTTACAAAACGTAGACAAATGGTTCTTGTTTGTTACTGGTCAATTGAGAATACTGCTCAAACTTGGTGAAGACAACAGAAATGGGAGTCGACCCAAACCTTGGTGCCAAGATGCTACTTTTCAGCATGGCATGAACGCCTATTTAGGCAATCCTTTTGAGATATTCATAACCTTTTAGCAACCAGCCACTTGTCGACCTTAGATGGGCTCAGCCATCGCCTATAATCCAATCATGCTTTCGCATTATTTACGAGCTGGTTTGCAAGATCGTTCCAATTAATACATTCTCTTACGAATGTGATCGAGGCATCGCCGTGATGAGACTTATCATCTTATGGTAACATACTCTCAAGATGCACACGAAAAGTTCTTCCTGGAAGAGTTAAAGAATTGAGAACGGCAAATGTAAGACAACTTTCAACTGGGCAGTTTCTGTTTCCAAGTTCCATCGCAAATCCAGAGGCTTTGCCAACTTAGTATGCCGAGTAGATTATAGTACAGTTTTTGAGATTGATAAGGGTACAATACCAAGGACACATGGGTAGCGTGGAACAAATGCCTCGGCACAATTAAACAATTAAGACGATGATCCAATGCACTCTTAACATGAGGTCTTCTTATTACACTAAATTACCGCCTGCTTATAAGAGGACGGGTTTCTATACAACTCAATACAACATGCGAAATCCTCTGGAAAAAAACTCATTTGCGGGCAGAACCCTCAGAAGGATCACTTGAAAACATGTGCTTCACTCGTGACAAGATCGAATCTTGACTTGGGTCATAAGGATGGTCCTTTGATGGTATCTCGAGTATCGCTGGAAGTGGTTTAGAGTAACTATCAATCATGAAGCGAATCATGTTGGCAATCTGCACAATGGTTGACAACGGAAGTCCTGAGCATTCATACTAAAATTACAAGAGATATGTTACAAGCTTGATATCATATTTATTCAGCTATAAAACAAATCACCTGTCGGAAACAATTAACCATCAGTGCAGACGATTGTTAAGTTCGAGAGAAAAATAACCAGCAAATGATTGGCAATACTCAACTCTAATTATGTGCAAGGAGAGAGGAAACCCACATATTGACTTATGAGAACGATAGCTATGTCCTCACGGTTGGTGAATTCCTTAAATGAATCCTCGATTTGCTTCACAGTGGTCTCTGCAGGCGTATTTACAATATAAAAAGAACATTTACAACAGCCTATTACCCTGTACGTCCCCCATAGACATCTCAACCGAACTGTTCTATAATTTCAAGAAGCTGGCACTATGACCAGTGGAAAAATGTGCGCCTTCTCTCTCTCTATCTCTCTCTCTCTCTCTCTCTCTCTCTCTCTCTCTCTCTACATATATGTTACGTGTGTGTGGGAGGCAGCGCTTACTGTTGTCCACAACTAGGTAGTTGGTCTTTCGGCGTAGGTCTACATTGCCCACACCTGCTAGCAAAAATCCTGTTACTGTATCCTGCCAAAAGAGCACCCCAATACACCTCAATACCTACACTTCTAGTTTGTAATACATCCCAAAGGATCCCATCCGCTTGACATTCAAAGCGCCCCAGTTTCATAGACATTAGATCTCGAACATTGACACCTACGGGTTTGAAAGAAAACAACAGTTGCTACAAAAGTCATAAACCTAATAACTGCTTAAAGGATATCGCCAGATACACCCCAAAAACCAAGACATCGAATAGAGGCAACGTCTCACACCTCTAGATTCAAACTTATTCTCAGTAAACCTTAAAAGTCAAAGAAGCCAACGCCAACACCTCCCACCAATCTCCACCATACTAAATCATGCCCGTTCCATTCCCACAGTTATTGAATCACACAAGATCACAAACGTATCCGCCTTAAATAAAGAGAAAAAACATCATTAAACGTCAGAGCTGAGTCGGAGGAAAAATCTCAACACACTCAGAATGCAAGTAACCCCAGATCCACAAAACCCTACGTTGCCCCCCACCCTCTCAACTACAGAAATTTCCCAACACGCAAAATCCTCCTCACAACCAAAGTAAACGACCCTCGAAACTGGAACCCTTCACCTGCATCAACTGCACATCGACAATCCCCTCCACGACGCGGACCTAATCCCACGCCACAATCCCAACACAATCCGCCATACCGTAGAAAATCGGAGGATAGGACAGGAAACAGATACAAAGCAACAAGCGACCCACTGAGAGAGAGAGAGATAGAATCCGTGGCATACCTCGTCGGCGATGATGGCGATGAGCGATGAGCCCCGTGACGACGCTTGCGCTGCAACGCTTGCCATTGCGAATCCTCCACGCGAGCTTGACCCGAATGCTACACAACGTGCCTATGAATTAATAGCAATGTGCTCTGAGAGTGTGGGGGTGTGTGTGTGTGTGAGAGTGAGAGCGAGACTGTGTGCGCGCGTGCTCGACGCGGTGATGGGGTGCTCAACTCATCTGGCCCACAGCTCTGCAACATGAAATGGATGTCCCTATGAACGAACAGACTTCATCTTCTCTTCGACGAACGAACGTCTCCCATTTCTCATCCAGGCTCACTAAAACATGGTTCCATTTTAAGAGAATAATTACAAATTTTGTGCTCTATAAAAATTAAATGTAATATTAACAGTGAATTTTTTTCTTGTACTAACTAAGTATTAGATAGGTTACGTATTCTTTAAGTATTTGATAAAATATTTTTTATGCTAAAATCATCCCATTTATATGATTGTATTAATTTATTATTTTTTCAAAATATTTTCCATTTTTATTTTTATTTTTATAAATTTAATTCTTATATTTTTTTTCTTGTAATGTTTTTAATCTTGTTTTATTGTATCTAATTTAAAGTCAACATTTCTTCTTTTCTATTTAAAATATGTGCATGTTTACTTTTTAAATGCATAACATCTACAATATTCTATTTAATAGTTAAGTTTTTTTTACTTGTCTGTTGTTCTTCATCTTGATATTGGCCATTTTTTTTTGTACTTCTTACAATTCATTTCCAAGTATTGCATAATAAGATAAATGGAAAATAAAATACATTACATAATTATATATATATATATATATATATATATATTTATTTATTTATTTATTTACATATTTATTATAAACATATGTATACATAAGTGCGTTTTTTAATTTTATCTGAAAAATTTATCAAGGAGTCAATTACACATCAAAGCTTGACAATAATATAATAAAATAATAACTTAAAGGATATATTTGTGATAGAAAAGAAATATCTAATTATGAGAATGCAATTGATAACAAGAAAAAATTTCACTGTTAATATTATGCTGTGATTTTGCACAGTTTCATTGTATTTTATTTTTCAATTTTAAAATGAGTACCCAAGAATGAGAATTTTCAGACCATGCAATTTTTTTCTTTTTCTTTAATAGCATCATGCACTGAGTATCTTTTTCTTTTTAGTGATAGTTGCTTGATTTATTGTCTAATTCATCTTTTATTCAGTGGAATTGATATTGAAAATTCTTTTGTAGATCATTTGGGCAATCTAAGAATGACTTCTGCTTCAATACATTTCCTCAATAAAATTACATCCAGTACATTGACTAGTGAAGTAATGCTGTTTGTTTCTTTGTTTACTATGCTATATTATATTTTTTTTTGATTATTTTTGGCTTGCAATATTTTATTCATTTTATTTCCATTGGTCTGGTCAAAACACCTTCACAACATGGCCACATCAAGAATTTTTCACTTTCATGATGTTATTTTTGCTAAAGCATTTTCTTTTCTTTTCTTTTTCTTTCATATGAATATAATGAATTGATATAATATTTTCTAAGTATAAAATGTGGGATTAAGATGATCTGAAAAAATTTGCCCAAAATGAACGGAAAGATTATCTAACTATTCTTTAACTGTCTGTGAGGTTAACTCCATGAGAATCTACCCTCTGAGAGAATAAGATTAGGAACATAAAAATTGGGTTCTCCCCAAAATGATGCTCCTTGTATTTGAAGAGGAAGGGACTTGAGAAAGAATGCTGCAATCCGTTTTCATCTCTCATAAAGATCACAACCTTCATGCTTGAAATTATTCTCCAAGCTGCAATAAGAAGCAACTTTGAAGAAACCAACTCTAGCACAGACTAGTCAGTATTATCATTCTAGCGCTGCCTAAGGTTAAGAAAACTCTCTCCATTCTCTACTACATTGAGCAATTTCAAGTATGCTGACATACCCAAGTCAGTGGATGCAAATCAAATCCTCATTATCTCAGGTGCTCGGAGATTCCATAAGCTTACATTCAGTCGCTTCCAACAATTATCTACATAACGAAACACAACCGAAACTGCGTCTTTTAAATTTCTCTCTTATTTCGTCTACACAACAAAAAGCTATTGTTGCGCAGTTATTTTACACCCAGTACTTTTTGGTACAAATACTGCAAGTGAAGTACAGAGTCCAACACAGTCAGCGTGTCAAGGCTTGCAAAGAGGTGGCTTTAATGTCATTTGATCCGCCATCATTTCCTCCATGTCTGTATCCATATTTTGGCCAAAAACTCCACGCCTCACGCCCCATCTTAGCGCGCCGCGCTCGATTGAGTTTTTGGAAAATTTCTTTGCTGGCACAGGTGCTTCTCCTAGAGAGAAAAGTTTCTTCTTCCTTTCTTCAATTCGGAAATTCAAGTCTTGGTATTGTTTCTTCAAATTGTTAACAACTTTCTCTTCAGCATCAATGTCCTCTCTCAGGAAGTCCATATCGTCTAGGAGCTTAGGAATAGTAACAATCACAATTTTTTTCTGCGAAGTTGCAAATCTGTTGTTAACAAGAGGCAATCAAGCGCCACTTGAAACATGAAATAATTGAACGACCAACAAAATACTTGATGTGAGGTAATCAAAGTTGGCATTTCCGGCTTAGGTACCTGGGAAGCTTCCATTTTCCTTTTCATAGCTACGATAGAAGCCTTGATTTTTGACAACTTTACTCTTGATCCATACAAAGTCTGGTCTTCACCTAATAAGAGATCTCGTTTCTCCTGAAAAGACAGAGCATAGCAAGAACATATTAAAATATCTGCAATGAAAGGATTGTTCAGTTCTCGTCCACGTCCAATGGTGCTTTTTTCCAGCGTTTTTAACAAACCCTTGACATGTAACAGCTGTTTCCAAGATCAAGCTCACAGCTGGAGGTTGTTTCATAATGCTCACCCAATCACTAGACTGGTAGCTCCTCTCCACCACCCACTTAGATAACTTGGCAGTTGGGCAAGAATTGTGGAAACATCCTCCAAGAATAAGTGTCAATGTTTATCATGCCTGTGCAAGACACACTATCACCTCTGAACTTAAGTGCACCAAGCTAATCTTCTATTGCGCCATACATGTAAATTAAATTGACCACGTGGTGCCTCTCACCTCAGATCTCATGGTAAAGAAGAACCAAAAGTGGCAGGTTTCTCCGATTTAAAAAATCGAAGGGTTGAGATTGTCGACCATAGTAATTAGCATTGTGAAGCTGGATTTAGTACCTTACACTCTTCAAAGAGGAACTGCAGCTTCTCTCTCACGTGTGTGAGTAAGTGCACCAAGAACCGTGTCTTCTTCCTCAAGATCGTCAAGGCTTCATTTTTTAAGGAAATCTGCATCACGAAGAAAGCCCCCTCTCAGCCCATAAGCTTGAGATTTTCCTGAAGATATAGTTCTTAAAGCAAGAAAAACAGAGCGTGAAGAAAAGTTTCCTGGTGTCTCCAGCCTGGGAGGAGGTTTGGCAAGTTCTTAACCATGTCCAAGTCTATGCTCGTTTGCAAAGCTACTTTCGCTTGCAGTATTAAACATACATGGATGGAAGATCGATAGTGCACTAGCCTTAGCATTGAAAGATTCATTTTCCATCTTCAGTTGCTCATAGTTCACCAAATGAAGAGGTCCATTTTCCGACTGAAGTTGGTCCTTGAGTTCCAGTTTATGCTCGAGCTTCGCAAGTTGATTTTTCAGCTGACGTCCCCGGATGCGCACTATTTGCTTCTCCAAAATCGAGTCCCGCTCCTCCTGCTCCACCTGTGCACCGAACAGAACAAGTTAAACGTCAAATGACCTCTAATTTTTTTCTATAACATGAATCGACAGATATGAAAGATTTAGAAACCGACCATGTAGATAAGACGAGTGCCAGTTCACATACTATCAGCGTACCGCTAGGAGCGTAGATCTTGGTATTCTCTGATTGGATAGCACGTCCCGTGAATGTCTAGCAATCTGCGAACCGAAAAAGGAATGTCATAACTTGGTTCTTGTAGCAAGCCCAAAAATCGAGCATAGGAGTGCAATGAATTGTGAAAACTTTCAAAAAGTAAACAAACGAAGTAATTAGATATTAAACGATCAAGTTACTAGAGTGAGGTTGCATGTCACGCTTGATGCATCTAAAGCAGCAGATTTGCGAAAACAAACCTTCCAAAGAAAATGAATCAACCCCTCCTGCCGGGCATCTGCTTCAGCCTTCTTTTTTTGGAGACTGCCGCGCAGTTCCTCAATCTTGCTGTCGTAGTCTTCTTTGAGCGTCTTAAATCCAAGTTTCATTTCTGCCCAGTCCCGCATGCGCTGTTGTAGCAAGAAATTCACGTTAATTAAAACCCAAAAAGGATATGATATGTTGTAAGTTATCCATGCATATGTATTTTATCCTACATGTGTCGAACTCAACCGAAATGAGAAGTGGTGAGGGCAATCTATTAGTTTTATGAGAGAATGCTTAGAGATCTTGGGTTAATAATTTACTGCTTGGTAATAAGCCTCTTGGCCCTCAAGTATGAGTCCCTCCGCATTGACAGACCGCCTCTTCTTTTGCAAACTGCACACGCGCTTTTGAAGCTCCACGTTCTCCTGCTTCAGTCCATTTACCTCCTCTTGTGTTGTCTGTAACAGAGTGCACTGCAGAGGGTTAGAGGCAAAAAACAAAGATATAAAGATATGAACACGTGCACACGGACAAAAGTAAGTTTTACCAGTGCTAGTAGTCCTGGAATATATTCTTTAAGGGGCAGTCCAAGCGCTTTTTACCTCAATGATAAAGCGCAAACGAGCTGCTTCGACTCTCTTCACGTTGTCTTGTTCTTCCTTTCTCCTTTTCTCTTCTAACCGCCTTGCCTCCGCCTCCTCTCTTCTGCTCTGCTCTTCTTTTCTCTGCTCCTGCTCTTCTTCCAATCTCTTCTGCTCTGCTTCTTTTTTCTGCTGTTGCTCTTCTTCCAACCTCTTCTGCTCCGACTCCCTACGCGCCACCTCTTCTGGACCTTCCTGCACATTTTCTTCACAGGGAGAATGTTAAGTTCAAACTGGAACTCCTCACAAAGATGTTCCACCATGATTCACGACCCATAACGTACATGTGCTTCTCAATGGTGTCCTCTACAAGAATGTCAACCGCTTCAAAGTATCGTATGACGCTTCTTCAAGAAATACTACTACGCTGTTTGTGTTAAAAAGCCCATACTTATGCCTTCTTCCACCCAAAAACAGCAGGGGTAGTCCAATGTGTCTAAGAGCAAATTTTGGCCTCCTAAGGGTTTATGCAAGAAATCAAGGTCAGACAGAGGCACTTTATTATATAGCCAGGAAGGTTCAATTACACCTGCTGTGGTTTGTCCTTAACTTTATCTTTTTCAGGCGGCTCCGCCATGGCCGGAACTTACGATTGATTAGCAATGGCACGCGACAACGAAATAAAACTGCAAAGCACAGGTCTGTTTCTTTCAGATTATCAACTCAATTGCATTACACCAAACTATTGAAATTTCAGGTTTTGAAGAATGCTACAGTTTCCGTGATTGAGATTCCCAGTTCTGACGAACACAAACGAATCATCTTAATTCCAACTTGGAAGACCTTGGGTGTTATCACAAACTGATATCCAAAAAACTTCTCAAAAGCCCTAAGACTAATTGACAAGCGTGACAACGTCTACCTCTAAATGTTCCTGGAGTTGGCAAATCGTCCAAGTAAACTTCGAAGCGTGTGTTTATGAAATCCTAGGGAGAAGAATTACCACAAGACAATTACGGTGCTCTCAAAATTGGATATCCCTGACCTACCTTCTGATCACGCACAAATTGTGTAGAAAAAATTGCAAGGCCGACATGACAATAGTTTCGCATTCCTCGAACTGCCCGTAAAGTGCAAGATTAGGGATTCTCCGATCCACATGTTGACACGACAACAGATGCTCTAGCCTGCTGATTCAATGTTAAAGCAGTCGGTTGTCCAGTGCAATGGCAGGTTTTACCGTTAGACATCAGTGTAATCGGATGTACACATCGGCCTATTCGCGGTGGGTTCATTATCGCAGTCTCGTGCGTTACTTCGTCAATACTTAGCCCTGTATTCCCCGAATGGTCTTGGTCATGGGTGACCCACTCTGCCATCCCCATAGCCATATATGAAAACATTCCACACTTCTCACGGAAGTGCTCCCACGTCAACAACAGAGTTTAGGTTTTCTTGTTAGTGTGGAACAAGCGTGGAGCACAAGCAAGTCTACTCAACATCGGAATCAAGTCCAATACCCATGGAAGCAATTGAACAAAGACATCTGCGAAGGGCTTGCGCTTCTCCCGAGAATTGGTGGAATTCCATATATAGCTTGAGTGAGGTCGAGCTGAGGCCCCTCACCAAGTGTCTTAAGAACTCCAGAAATATCCTCTTTGCTAATCATTCAAAAGATACGCTGCGGAAGATTGGCCAGCGAGTCTGTACCAATCACTGTGCCTCCACCTGGACGTAACAATTCTTACTAACATGAAGGAGCACAGCTCTGCCTTCTTTCATTTACTGTGTTGTCAGTCCTGCCTTGAATCCGACATTTGGGACCTTACAAACTGGGTCGTGCTGTGATTCTATGCCAGACGAATCCAGTGTAGTGCGTTGAAACATCTGGATAGTGATTATTTTACTTTGAACTTTGAAGTTACTGCTGATTATTCAGTATTTGTACTAGAAATATAAAACGTAGCACATGACAGGCGTGTTAAGGAAGCGATTGAGCTTTTGATTATGATGGTCGGTGCACGTTTATGGTGCATTTTGGCTTCATAGTAGCATCAAATTTGTTCATAATTTCTGCAGACAAAATACAGAGGTGGCAGACGAAACACAGAGTTGGCTGACAGCACAGAGGTGGCAGCACTATTGTTTGACTCTTGAACGAAAATTTCACGACATGAAGCGCTTGCAAAAAAGTGTCTAAGTGATTGGCACCAGTTTCTATGTGAGCCTCGCCCAATATGGAGTGATTCTGAAATCGGGATGTCTGTTTCAGCTTTGAGCGACTCATCTCCGCCCTATGAGTATGCGTTGCGTGTTCACTGTTTGTGATTGATACACATAACCAAGTACCCAATGGCAGGTCTCTGTTTACAACAAGTTTGTTGAAAGGACAATGTGATGTTGGGGCTAATTGTATCCCTAATCACAGCAATTGAAGTGATTCTTTTTGCGTAATCCGAAGGGTAGAGTATTGGATCGTAGTAAAGATAAATTGCGGTGTGGGTTCATGGTGGGGACTAACAATCTGCTTACGTGCAAGTTTGAGTGTGCTGGCATCTGTATCACTTCTTTGTGCCAAGCATCTTTTTTGCTTTGGCACGGGCTTCCTCCTCAGTGAACATTTCCTGAGAGAGTATCGTGGGTGCTTAAGTGGGGTCGTGAGGTTGTTTCCTGGTCTCCACTGCCATTGTTGCACCGTGGTGGGGAACAAGGGAGGTTTAGTGGATGGGGGGGCCGTGGAGAAACGAAAGCTAGTTCAGGAATCAAACAAGAAACAAAGGGACACAGCGCGGTTATTTGCGATGACTCCTCCTGCGATCATTAGTTACCAATCTGTGGTGGAGGGCAACAAGGATCTGGATCCTACAAGTTATCCTCTTGAGAATTTTACGCTGTACGAGACACGAGCGGTACGTAGTGAGGCAGCCATCGCAACTCCAGTTCTCACTTATAGTATTTGCATTTGTAAGTGCTTTAAAAAAAAAAAAAAAAAAAAAAAAAAAAACTTTGGCATTATTGAGAGAAGCTGATTTCTTCTGAGGGACTTAGATCGTGGTGCTTTGGGAAATTCTGCTCAACATTTGGCAGGTTCCTAAAATGGTCTAACGGATTTACGTCTATTTATTGTCTTTTACCATTTTTGCCTACCATGAACTTGCTCTGCAAAAATTGAACCACTAATTTGTCCTTGAGTTCAAAGTTCCGAGTAAGGCATGTAATGTTCGGCAGAAAGAAACAATAGCTTCGTAGAAACATTCGTGGCTTAGGCTCCATTATCGGATATATATAGTGTAATTTCTTTTACGAAAACTGGTATGAGAATGAGAAAGTGGAGAATGCTAGAGTTCAATTGAAGTATTCTATATTTTTTAAATTCAATTCTCAGGAAGCATTCATATGGGAGTCTAGTGTGGACTCTCGGTCAATTGATTACTTTCTATCATTAAAATGTTTCCATGCACATGACTCATCTGAGTGTGAATTTGTTGTGCGATCAGAAATACTATCTTGTCGGAAGGGACAAAATGAAACAGCACTGGCAGGTGCTAAAGATTGATCGCACTGAAGTCGCGGAGCTTAACGTGGTTGAAGATCCCTTGATATACACGGAAGCTGAGTGCAAGACGCTCCTCTCGTGTATTGCAGAGGGTAATAAACCAACTGGTGGGCTTCAATTTGTTACGAAATGTTATGGCATCATCGGTAAAGTTTCTAATCCGCTTCATAACAATGACTGCTCTCCTCTTATATTTGTGGAGAGTTGGACAAATCTTATTTTAATGAGTATCTGAAATTATGTGGCTATTTCTATGTTGATATTGATTGGTCTATATGCAATCTGAAATCAATGAAGATCCAAGCATATCAAAATTGTGCAGTGGTTTTGAATAAGTTCCTACATTCTAGTTCCTTCACCCATCCCCATTTTAACAGGAGTTGGTAGAAACATAGAGGTCTTAAGTTTGAATCGATTTTACTTTATCTTGAAGATTGCATTGATCTGGAGCCAGTTCGTATTATGAATGTGTTATGTTTTTACAGCGACAATTGGTAACTTATGCACGTTTTGTTTATCTATTCATAGGATTTATCAAGTTTACCGAGTCTTATTACATGATTTTGGTCACCAAGCGACGGCAGATTGGAATAGTATGTGGCCATAAGATATATAGCATTGAGGAGAGCCAGCTCATAACTGTGCCACACCCGACTGTGCAGACTGAAGTTTCTCATTCAAAGGTGGAACTCAGGTTGGTCCTTTATCTCGCACCTTTTTCTGCAGTTTTTATCATTTGTTAAAACATCTTGGTTTTCTTGCCATTTCATGTTGATGCCGTTTTGATGCACTTTAGAATAATCATAAAGCTCCTCATTGTCTGTTCGAGTTTGAAGTAATTTGCATCCTTCTTTCTGCAAGTTGCCAAGATGAGACATGTGAGATAAAATGTATTCATTTTTATTTATTTATTTATTTATATGTTTATTTTTGCCTCGTTCAAACCATTCTGGGATTTTCTGATTTAGGTACAAGAAGTTGCTAATAGGAGTGGACCTCACCAAAGACTTCTACTTCAGTTATACTTACCGCATTATGCAAACTATGCAAACAAATGTCAAGTCACTAGACGACGACCAGATGCCATATGATAATATGTTTGTGTGGAATGCGTTTCTCACAAGCGGCATCCGACAATCGTTAGGAAATACTCGGTGGACTGTGGCCCTGGTTCATGGCTTTTTTCAGCAGGTGACTGTTGTTTGCATATACTAGAAGCACTTGTTAGACTTTTCATCTTTTTTCCAGGTTGCATAGTATTCCAACAGAATCAAGTTATGGTGCCTCAATCTTATATGGCACTGTGAGTTGTTGGCTCTGAGATTCTACTTCCGAACTGTTGAGAATTCTTTTGTGATATTTGTTTGCAGTAATCCTGATAGCTTACATTGTCATACTTACTTTAGCAAGAAAGTCCTAATGTAGATAATTAGTATTTCGTGCATTTCTTAAGTTTCTAAACGGATTCCTTTTGTTGAATGCAGGAAAAGCTTTCCGTTTTTGGTCGTATTTTTGTCATTACTCTTGTTGGAAGACGGTCTCGACACTTCGCCGGGACAAGGTGAGTGGTTGTCCAATACCTTCGTATTTACCATGGTGCACGCTGTGGTGATAACTTCAGGAATTCAATCAGCAAACCAGGACATGAAATGCAGTGTTTCATCTTCTCATTCACTCCAGGTACTTGAAGAGAGGTCTGAACGACAAAGGCCGGGTGGCAAACGATGTAGAGACGGAGCAGCTAGTTATGAACGAGGAGACGGGAATTGGCCGAAGTACTGTACAAATTAGTTCGGTTGTGCAACATCGGGGCTCTATTCCTCTCTTTTGGTCCCAAGAAATGTCCCGACTTAGTCCCAAGCCTGATATTGTATGTAAGTATTGGTACTACAAAACATTCAAGTCAGTGAGCACCATGCAGCACAAGAAAAATATCATTGCCTTCTCTTCTTCTAGCGGTTAGATTCACTTAGTTTGGTCGTTAACGTAATTTTAATTACTGTTTAGCTCTTATACTAATATTATGGATGCCTGTCATAGTGAGGTACCGTATGGGCGTGCAGTTATTATGCTTCTGCGAATGTCGTTTCAAGTGAAAAAGATTGATTTGTCGTTTATTGTTTTTAGGCTGTTCACGATGATCATCTAAAGCGTGGTTTGTTGTCTTTCTGTAAAATCTTAGTGCAAAGATTTGATCCAACTTATCACACTACAAAGCTCCACTTTGAAGATCTGTCAAAGAGATACGGCGATCCAATTATAATCTTAAGTCTTATCAAGGTATGTTCTACCTTCGTAATTCAGACTAGATTAATTGTAGCATACGCCACCCTGAATTTCACGATCAATGTAGTCATTCCAGGATGTTTTACTTCAATATAGTTTCGCGTGTTCAATTCTGTTCCGAACATGTCACTTGTATCAAGTGATTTTCTCCAAACGACCTCCAGCAAATTACGACCTTTTATTCTATTGAGTTTTATTCCTCGTTTGTAAAAGTCAGTTAATTTTTTGGATACCGTGTTTGGATTTAGACAGTTGAGAAACGACCACGGGAAATGATGTTGCGACGGGAATTCGCGAATGCTGTTGGGTACCTGAATCAAACATATCCCGAAGAGAATCAGCTAAAATTTATCCACTGGGATTTTCACAAGTTTGCTAAAAGGTGGTTAATTTATTATGAGGGAATAGCTGCTGAAGCAAATCAAATATTTTGGCTATGTGCATTGTTTGTATGAGTCAGTGTATGGTACCGGTGATACAGATGAAAATCATGATAGTGCTGACAATTTCGGTTTGCTCGTCTCTCAGTGGCAGTAAATCGGCCAACGTATTGGCAGTGCTTGGAAGTGTAGCAGCCGATGTCCTGGACCTCACTGGCTTCTACTACGGTGGCAAAGCACTTCTTCCTAAAAGGAAATTGCAACAGAGTTTCATATCCACTACTCCAGCGTAAGTTACTCACCAGAGGAATTCATGTATGAGGAAGATCATTTTCGGTTTTAGATATCCTCATGGAAGAGCCACAGCGTTTATTGTTTGCTGTGTAGAAATCTCAGTTCGTATATTTCTCTATTTCAAAAATTTGAAATTCATTCTTAACTCTTCCAGCGCATGATCAGGACATGTGTTCACATGGAATATAAAACCTGTTTTTATTACTATTTGGCAGATTACCAGCAGGTAGAAAATCCCCATCGAGAGACCGAACCTCATTACTAGATTTGTCAATGGATCGTCGCTTGGCTTTAGACCTGGGAAACCGGCAGTTATGTATGGACTTGGGCTCTTTGTATACTACCACAGTAAGTAGTATGAATAGTAGACTTGTAAGCGTACAAGAAGTTGAGAAAATAAATTCTAAGGTGGACAAGGTGCGAGAACCTCAATACCAAAATGGTGTCTTGAGGACAAACTGCATCGACTGCCTTGATCGCACTAATGTTGCACAATATGCTTTTGGCCTCGAAGCTTTGGGACGTCAGCTTCAAGCTGTTGGTCTTACAGACAGTTCCAAGATAGACCCTGACAGTGGGGTTGCAGCTGCTTTGATGGATATGTATCAAAACATGGGGGACTCTCTAGCGCTTCAGTACGGGGGATCTGAGGCTCACAATTATGTACGTTCTTCCTTCTCTTTTGGATGAAAATCTTTCTTCGTCATTTTCCTTTTCTTCAATTTGGTGATATATGCATTCTTTTAAAATAGTAGATTTGTAGAGATGAAGGATGAATGAATATATTATCAGCAGGATTGTGGATTGCTTGGAGTAATTCAGATGGAGATGCTGACAGGTATTTCCGGAGAGGCAAGGCAAATGGAAAGCCACCACTCAGTCGCAAGAGTTTCTCAAGTCCATCAGACGATATTATAGCAATACTATCACAGATGGCGAGAAGCAGGATGCCATGAATTTGTATGCTCATTTCATATCTATAATTACAGTGCCGTGAATGTCAAGTTTCTGATTCAGTGATTAAGTTTATACCTTAGTAACATTCAGATACGTAGAGTGAGTGGCTTGACCTGCTACTTCATTTCGGTGAAAGCATTATTTGAAAGTCTTTTCTAGGGACTTAATAGATTGCCCGGATCTAACATGTTAGATCGTATGCAGGTTCTTAGGCCACTTTCAGCCTCAAAAGGGAAAGCCTGCTCTCTGGGAGCTGGAGACTGATTATTATTTACATGCTGGCGGTCGAGAAGAAGAAGCATTTCTTGAGCACAAGTAATCCAAGGCCTTTTTTAACCTTATTGTGGCTGCTAGCTCTGGTTGATAGTGGGTTGGTTTGTGGCACATTAACGTTAAACTTAATTGTGAAGTGCTTTAGACTCATAAGAGGCAATGGTGTGTACCCACTAAATGCCTTAGTGAGCTTCGTATAAGCATTGTTGAATTCGATATTGGTGAGGTATTACAAGTTACGGAAATTTTATTAGCATTCTTCCATCAATGCTAAGTTCAGGTATAAATGCCATAACTATGTCAATAACTTGGGTAACTATACGAGTTTCTCGTGATTTTCTCTGCTGAGCGCTGCGATGGGTTTACGTAAAGCGCATGTAGCTAATATGTAGACGGTCGACGTTCGCACAGTAATACCCCACTTGATTTGCATAGGGCATGTTTGATTTCTGAGGCTCTCACTAGATGCTTTTGGCGAAATCCCCATAACTTATCGCGTGAATGAAATTGTAGAAAACCAGGAAAAGACAGTAAGAAGCCATCGCTTAGCTTCCAAAAACCACGAAACAGCAAGCTGTTTTCTGCATCTCCATATGAAGAAGATTTTCACCGCCAAAAGCTGACATCATTTGATAAGCTTCAGGTTATATTCGAACTTCTATTGTTTACTTTGGATCTCCTTATCCCAGGAGCTCATACTTCGTGATAGATGAGAGCAATGTAATGACAATATATTAATCACCGTCCTATCTAAATCTATGTTCTAGATAAGAAAGAAACTCAATATCAGAAAAATTGTTTTTCGTCTTAACTTGTTGTTACTATTGTTCTGAAACACTTAAGAAGTGCAACATACATGACCTTCTGGGATTATTGTGTAGATAAAATTCGGCCTGCCTACCAAATTAGTGCATCTATTGTGTTTTGTAGGCAACTTGTGGATCTGCCAAGAGTGTGCGCATGTATGGAGATTCTGGGTTTAAGAGGAGCGCAGCCACTGGAGTTGCAAGTGATGCCGCGTAAGATGATTTCTTTTTATAATGTTATTTCTGTATCTAGTATGAGACTTCGTAGTACATGCGGAAAATGTGCTTTCCTATGTAATTTACAGAAAGTAGGAGGGATGGCTCAAAACATGCACATTTTCGTTTATAGATTCATGCCCTCTTGTTGACATAGTCGCATCTGATTGTGGATTCAGGGAAGTGCAGTTAAAAACTCCGAACTGGCTGTATGGCCAAAAAAGGTCAGGCGATAATAATGTAGCAAAATCAGATGCTGAAATAAGCTTACAGGCCCATGCAACGAAGCTTAAAGAAAACAATAAAGAACTAGAGGATATGAATTGGTTAACAGCACAAATCCCTCGTGTGGAGGAAGAGCTTTTTACCAGGTATACGATCTTCTTCTTCAAGAGTAACTTATCGTGCTTTTGGGTGTGTTCAAAAAAGGAAAATTAACATAGCAGTTGTTAAACTTGTCTGAATCTTTTAAAAGCATAATCTTCTGAGTACTTCACTCCGTATATGTGTAAGTTGCATACCAAATTTCTAAGACATCGTCAGTAGCCAGTCGTTAACTTAGTCCAGTTGCAGCTGCTGGTGTATAATTCTTGTTGTATTATTTAATTTAACTTAATTTTTTAATATATGCAGGTATATTTCAAGTATAGGAATCAATGAAGACGATTCGTGGTATGGAACCAGGATCCTTCCTGGTACTGTAAACGAAAGCGAAGCCAACCGACACTACCTGGAGTGCTGCAAGGTTTGCTGTTGTTTCCCATCGACTGATTCCAATCATTGCTCTCTTATAATATTCTATCATTCTTAGCTTTTAGGCCTTCTCTGCAACACTCTATTAGAGGCATAGGTCGGTGTTAAACAAGCTGCTTCGTTGCATGTTCGGGGCTGTTCCCTACAGGTTGGAGGTGTGCGGTGTGAGTGTTTGGAAACTAGGCACTGAGAGAGTTCGGTTGGTTTTGCAGGGACCACTACAAGATTTCGAGGATTTGACGAGGATTAAAGGAAGAGAGTCGTTTTATCCTCTTTCTGAGCTGATTCAATTGGAGGACGAGGATATTGTGAGACATGCAATGGAAGCTGCTTTGAGCGAAGGCAACAACATTGGTAGCAGTGATTTGTTGGACAATCATATGTCTTCAGATTCGACCGCGCTTGATTCGTCTTGTAATTTTTTTGAATGGCTTCGACAGGATAAACAACTATGCCAAGTGTTGTCATGAGCTAACGATCTGCACCTGATCATGGTAATCTACTTCGTGCAACATCTGCAACGTAGTGGATTCAGAGGATCAAATTTCGAAGGTAATTTGAGGTATGAGATGGCATCAGTTGTGGCGATTGTAATGTATGGAGTGTAAGTATCTGCTAGAAACGTTGTTGGGAACGGCTTGTCAGAGAAAGGGAGAAAATCTTCACCAACTTTAGTTGAGCTTTTGCTTCACAGCAGCATCATGACCTAAAATTTGACAATGTGAGAAAAAAATTTATTAGATAAATGCTGCAGAAGCTCAACCGTCTGCACAATTGACACTAATCCCAAGGAGAGTGTGAAGTATGGAAGTTGTGAAGAAGTCTAGATTCTAAGATCATCCCATAAGGTTTGAGGAAATCTGGTTCCCAACTGAGTGTCGTGAGGATCTCAGATAAGGTTGACAATGAGCACACGAGACAGTATCAGATGTATGTAGTTGATACATAGTAGACTTTGAAGGCAATTGTAACAACATAAAATATTTTCATCGTATAAAATATGTACATTATTTACATACAATTGACTATTCTTCAAGGTCAGTGTATGATATTCAATTGAAACTTGAAGAGCTGGGGTTCCATTCAATATTTTGCATTCTAAAATTTTATTATTCTTGTAAGATAGTTTTATGTTGAAGAATCTCTCTACTTTATGTAATTCAACCTTAATCAAACCCGGATTTGCGTCGGACTTCCAGGTAAGGTCACACCCCTTAATCATTTGAGTGAATGTGCAGTTCTAGAGATTTAAAGATACTCATCTCTAGATTGTATAAATCTAACGTATTGTAATATTTCTATAACACGATTGTTTTTCTTCGACTCAATATAGTATCACAACTTATTTTATTTTGCAATGTAAAATTTTGACAAGTCTTTAGTTGAATGACAAGTTAAATTTCTTAACTTGTTATACTTCTTTGATGATTATTTCAACTCATATTGTGATTTGTTGAGTTTTCAAACAATATGCTTTTGGCCTTGCTATAAAAATCTCTTATGTTTCTTCCAATAAATGTCATTTTTAAAGTTGCTGTTAAAAATGACATCTTTTTATTCATTTAGCATATTTCTAAGTCTAATGTTGATCCAATAGTTAGAATACATCTGGTAGTGGTGAACTCAATAAGAACTTCAAACTTTTCACTAAAATTCACTTTAAGTACTGTTATGAGCATTTTTGCCAAGAACATTATTTTGTAGCCCATAATTTCCTATACTGCATCTTTTGGTCTTGAATATCTACATGTATCCTGTAACATTATAAATATCTAAGAAGAGAATTAATTTCTAAATTCTAATTGTTAATAAGAATTGTACTTATCATCCTTGACTAATTTCTACTAGTGTCCATCATCAAATTTAAGTGCATCTTTAATAATATAAAGATCATCTACAAGGGCCATATGAGCCATGTGTGCACAATTACGGTGTTGGTTATCTTAAGAAAAAATGTGATTTTTATTTTTATTTTTTTATCAATCTCCAATAGACTCATTCTCCTTATATTCCAGTGTAGACCATCTTCATTCAAATGTTCACCCACTAAAACATTTGTAAGAGGTATTCGTGCCTGCTATTTCTATTTGATATATTTTTTATATTGTGATGTCTTGGTTACCTTACACTTTCTGAATCATTTATTTCATTGCTTGCATCAACAATATTATTTTTTCATTGGACTAGTTCTCACCTTTTCTTATTGCACCTTTATTAAGAAGAAGAGATGTTTAAACTTTGCAACTTGTCTTTAAAATCCCTCAGATTTTAGATTTTAGATTTTAGATTTTTTTTTTTCAATAATTTTTTACAATTTTTTCATGTAAAATGACCTCTTTTTTCATATATTTATTTTATTTTTAATCAAAAACCATCAAAACAACTAAACAAATTTTAACACAGCGAATTTGAATAAGACGTCATTCTAAAGAAAAATAATTTGATCCAACTATTGTAATCAAACCAATTGGAAAGCATATATATATATATATATATATATATATATATTTCAAAAAAAATATTTATATATTCTTAAGCGAGTCTCTCATGTATACATTAAACATTTGTGCACAAATGTTTTCATCATTGTTTTTTCAATGTTGAAAGTGTAACCACAATGCCTGGAGAGTCCGCCCATAACTGAGCGATCTTAAGACGGCAAACGAGACGCCCGCTGACGCCAACTGCCGCGTACCGCCGCCGTCATCACAAAATGGAGATCCCGCTGGATCAAATCGCAGCCCTGCCTCGAAAATGTCATTCATAATCAGGCTAAACTGCAGCGTTCACTGCTCCGAACTAGACATTTTTCCCACAATCAAATCTCTGGGATTCTAGCACCAAACCATCTGCCCATGTTGGAAATCATACTGATAGACTGTGTCATTACGGGCTTGTGTTCAATGCCACGCAACAAATCTCCGGAACTCGACCGTAGTGTGAGAGAACTAACCCAGTTGCTTATACTCATCTGGCAATGCGTGACAGATCCATTTGAATGCCGCTTCCCGTGCGCCTGCCCCAAACACCGATGGAGCCCTTAGACGAGTCGTTCGCTACTTGTTTCCAGCCTTGATGTTTGACGGAAGCCCGCTCTGCATTCGACCAGATCCCCTCCCCTGCCTGGCAGCTTGATCCGCAAGCGCCACCCGTAGGCCCTGTATGATGGAGCTGCGTTGACTGAGGACCCTCGTCGGTGTCAGTAAACCGCGGTGTATTGAGATACCATGTTGCTAGATTGGACTGCGAGGCCGCGTTTTCCACTGCCACGGACCCCCAGTCTTTCTGCCCCGGCTTGGACTCCTTGTGTCGTCTCTGAGCAAATAGATTACCGTGGTGTTTGCCTCCGAAGTCGGCCACTGATCTCATCGTGGCCGTGCACAATAGCAGCACAAGGACCACGTCTTCCTCGGGGTGAATCTCCATGGCCGACACTCGCCAGTTGAACAATGCGGTGGCTTTGCCTTGTGGCGCTTGGGCGTTGTAGCGGATAAGCGTGACGAAGCCCTCTTCTTCCTGGAGCGTTGCGTTTGGAACCTCGTATTGGAGCTTCCTGCCGTTTATCAAACGTACCTGAATTCATCCCATTGCCTTCGATGATAGACTGAGAGTAATACTGCATATTAAATCATTTGTGAATCGTTTTTCATGAATCATGAGACAGGACTCATGAATCTGAAAAATAATTCACAAAGAGGAGAAAAGGTTTAAGTGAAAATAAGCATACCAAGTTTGTGTAGGAGCCCATCAGACGGAATTCTAGGTAGTGCTCCCAGTCGGTTTCGACTTCCAAGGGCCTAGAGATGACTAGAGAGTCGCCAGTAGATAGATGCCAGCTTAATCTGTAATGTTCTAGGTCATCCGCACATGGCGTTGCGGTACCCACAATTTTATCTGTTTTGGAAAGGTGCACAGATTAGTCACCTATGGCGATCAATGATAAGAAATGATTATCTTCATGGAATAAATCATTTCGATGAGAGAAACACATACGTGGGGCATAACCAATTGAGCCCGCCACGTAAGTCCAGCCCCCTTCGCAGACATCGATGACTCGCTCGTTCCAATCAACGCCTTCAGGTCGATCTCCATTCTTTCGCCATATCCCCTTCGCCACTCTGATGCGGATCACAAAGCACTCCTTTCCCATGTGATTCAAAACAGTTCGTGAGATCCAGCGTCCACGTTGAGGCTCATACTTATTCATCCGCAGAATCAAATTCGACAGCATCGCCCCAGCATCATCTGTCACTCGATCGGGCACTGATTTGAGAAGGTAAGGACCCTGCAATTACGAGCGAGCGATACTGTTTCAATGATCAAGTACGTTAAGTTCGGTATCTTGGAAAAACGGAAAAGCTGATTCTGCGGTTGCAACTTCCAACTTGCGCGTCACCAGAATCTTGCCTGCACGGGAGGAGCAATGGATACTCCAAGACGAAGCTGGAGAGGATACTTTTTCCTTTCCATCACCCACCGTTTCTCCGTGAGTTCAATTAGAGTGTTAGTGGAGAGCATGGGCGAGTTCTGCAGAGCCTCCCACGTGAGCTCCTTCGACCCGATCACTTTCGACTGATTTAGAGTCCCAAGACAGCCTTCCAGTTGACACCGAACCTCGAGCACGAAGCCCCTTGTTGCCATTTCGCAGTGGAGTAGCCAAAGCTTCTGCCATTGTGGATTTGAGGCGAAAGGAACCACCGCCGCATCCAACTTCAGGAGCTTGTGAGCTTGCAATGCTCGCAAGCGCACAGAAAGGACAATCTTCTGCTTTGTTTCATTTATAACATTGGTCTCACTTTTGATAAATATGCCTACCTGCTCATCACCATTAATTGTCAAGGTAGTATTCAGCGTGAAATCGTCTCCCTAGTGAACCATCCAAGAGTACAGAAATGGATGAATGCTTACTTGCACGATGCGTCTCGGAACAAGACAAGGAAACTTGAGATTTACGTCAGGGAGACGGAACTCGGAGGGAAGAGTCACAGGCACCCACTCAAGAATCTGCTGTCCGTCACTTCCGTCGTGGGGAGCAGGGAGATTCACGGGCTTCGACCCCTTGTACAAAGAACCGGCTCTTTCGTAAGGGTGGCCAAACGTACTCTCCCATAGCTGGGTTGTATCTTCAAAGCTATCGCCAAGTTTTGTGTTAGGTCCTCTCTCCATGCTATCGTCGTGGTCCACTACGCATCCGAGCAAAGCTTTCGTGTCTCTGGCGTAGGCCACAGGAGACACCTGTAAATCACGAGCCAAATGTGAGCAACGTTGCATGTATTGGGGAAGTTCAATTCAGATTATTGCAACTGTTGGTCAAGTATTGTATCAGTAGCAGAAGGATTGAAGGTCAATGACCTGATGGGCATGCCAGATGAGATCAATGTCGTAAGTTGGAACACACATGATCGAACCTCGTGACTTATTCACAATGTGGAGGAAGCACTTGTATCTCTCCAATGAAGCTTGCAGAAACGCTTCCTCCCACATGTAGGGCTGTGAAATCTGCGACAAAAAGAAATTAGAGACACAATTCAGCAAAATCTTGTTCGAAAAATCTATATTTGAAGGAGTAATTTCTTCAGTGCTTTTGCTGCAGAGGCACTTACGTGGTAGTAGAAAGAGCTTTGTCTGGTAATGACGGCCACCAGTTCTGAAATCTCCGGTACAGGAGGTTCCTCAGCTGGAAAGGCTGAAGTAGTGTCCTCGGTACTGCCCCATAGATTCAGAACGATGTCAAAGGGTTCATCTTTGTAACGCTCATTCCATATCTTTCTGCATCTATTGCGGGCAGCGTCTTCAATTGCAGTGTCAGGCAGAAGAGGACAATCAATGACGCGACCGTACTTGGATTTGCAGAAATCTCTGTAGGCCATCTGCGGAGTGCATGCTCGAGGTGAGGAATAATAAGTTTCGTGCGGCCAGCGAGTTTAGATTAAGCATGTCATTGTGCAAAGTAGACTAGAAACTGAGAGTAGCAACCCATTTTCTGAAATGCCGAAATGTTGGTGTACCGGGCTCAAGCAGTGACAATGCCACACCCATTGCACGTCCACTGAAGGAAGAAGAGCGGTTCCCGTCTTATCTCCAAGCTTGCATTCAGAATTTCCCGCCTCTGCCGCCAACGGCATCCAGCAATTTCGGTACCTACATAATTACGTGACAACAAAAAAATCTAGAATTGAACTTCACAGATGTGTTTCCACCTTCACAAAGAGATCAAGTATGCATGCAGTACTTTGCTGAGAAAGCTGTGCTAATCTTAAATTTCCTCAACAGCAAGTCCAATTTGCCGTTTCGTGGTCAAAGTGGTCTGCGAAGTGCTCACCTCTGAATCGCTCGCAGAACCGTAGGGGTGTAGCTGTGCAGGCTTGTGATGCTGTCGATGGTGCGGAGAAAGCACAGCAGACGCTTGGCTGCAAACACGAGATCCACCGAGATTTCTACCGTCCGAGCGCATCTCAGCTCCTCTTCATGATGCGATCGTTCTTTTTGGAGACATTTCTGGGACTTGTCCATTGCATCGCAGATCATACGGGTCGCCACAAAGTCTGGAGCCATCCCTAGCCCTTACACTGTCAGTTCAACCATAAACCAGGTCTCCAATCCTGAAACCCTGTCCGCATGTAATTCTTTTAAGCTTTGCACGCATCAATCGTCATGACATGGCTACACTGACATAAGGTTATAAATCTCATTGCAAGCATGAAACAGAAATCCGTGGAACCTGTCAATATGCACATCCTTCACTCTGAGGGCTGCAAGGCCCGAGCTCGGGATAAAGGTAGATGTTGTGAGACAGGGAGGGCGACAAAGAGCAGCCAAGCAGAGGATTATGCAACGCCAATACTTGATCCATCACTGACACCCTCATTTTATTTAATTTAGCTCTTGGGAGTGAGGCTTATGCGGTGTACTGACTTGCAAAGACTTGGCAATCCCAAGAGAAAAATCTCCCTGCTAATGCACGTAAGCTCTTGGGGGAGGCAGACACGTTGACGATGTGACTGTCTTTCGAATCTTCTTCATTCCCAATGATCTCTCACGCTAGAGATCTTGATTCCTTCGACCGTTTAGTTAACAAACCCTTGCCATCAGGGGTTTTACACCCTTACGTCGACTGTCATTCATCTGGAAGATACGTAGCTTGCGCTCTGCCTCTCATTTGCATCAGCTTCTGTGCAAAATAGAAATGTGAAGTAGTTAGTATTCTTGTAGATTACTCGAACTAAATCAGTATAATCCTCTATATCGTTTCTGACGGTTGCAGAAATCCTGACTATCTCCTGACATTGGTACGTGTGATTTTGGAGTGTGGAACTAAACACGGAATCAGGGAGGCGTTATCAAAACCTTGACTGAACTGTGCTCCTCCTGTGAACGACTCCCAACAGTGCATCTACCGCAAGTACACAGAACTAAGCCCATTGTTCGTAGCCCCTCGTGGTTACAATTCAATTTGTGGTTAAAATTGGTTCCGAGTGAGAGCTTTTACTGAGGCTAGTTTCTCTGACAGCAATAACAATTCAATGCTAAATCAGAGATTCCACCTTGTCTACTGAGTTTCTAGCTTGTGAGTGCACGTCGAAACTTCACCCGAATCCGACCTTTCATTTTCCCGAGGCGAGCCATGAACCGCTCAAAGCACTGAATATCATTGGGTGTGAATAGTGGTAACTCCACTCAACTGATCTGTCTTGAGATTATGCAACAAACTTAAGCTGCATTGATATGCTAACATTGAGCAACAGTATTGTCGACGGAAAGCTTCGATCTGTCCCACTAACCGCGAAAAGAAGAACTCAACACTGCATCAACTCCAACATTCCCTTTGAGAAGTCGGCAGCAACAACTGATCATCACCTGCAGGTCCCACAATAAACAAATTTAGTTCACTTTGAGCAAAGATGGAGACTCTGCTTAAAGTAAGCTCAGTCACTGGTCACACATACTAAACAACCAACTTAGTCGGTACCATAAGCTTCGGATTACGAGGGTCGGTCAAACCTCAACCATTTCCATTCTACCGCGACTGTTGAAGCAAACGGAATAGAATTTTGCCCGTTTCAATTAGGAGTGGGTAATAATATAGCTCTGTTGGTCAACCCACTACCTTCGTAGTCTAAAGGAGCTTCCATATTCAACCCCCATGCAATTAAAGGGACTTAAATTAATCAAAGACAGCAGCGAGGTGCGCGTGATATAAAAGGAAAAATATCCAGCCGGCCCACTTTACGGACACAGTAACACAATACTCGTACACTTCTCTGTATGGTATGCGATATTTTAGCAGTAAGGTTTGCGGCAAAATTGCTTAAGATCACACAACGAACCGTTTGCTGACACATATGAACGGGAAGGAAATCCTCAACGATCCATAGATGTACGAATCTTTTCTACAGTGATTATATTGAATTGTTTCATGCAGTTGTGAAGGAGAAAGAAACCCCCACTTCACCCTTTACACCATGTCGCAAAAGATGCAGTCTCCAGGAGCATTTCAACCCCAGCATGCCGACTAGCATAGCGTCATATATACATTAAATACTAGACAGAAACTTCTTGTATGCTTGCACCTTTAGCATTACACAACCTTTCTGTTTCTTTGTCAGAAAATAAGTTGCGGAAACCAGTTGGGTGAACGACAGGATCAAGGTCTGAGTTTTTTCGGTGAAGATCAAGGTTAAAGCTTCGAAAGATGCCGACGCAAGGTGATGATACACCACATGTACTACCCAAGAATGGAAAGATTGGTATGAACACTCCTGAAGCTTTGTCCGATCTGCTTGTCTGCAGCGTGCGCCCATCGATTGTGATCACGACGGTCAAACTAAAAGATGTCCTGCACGCCTTCGCCACTTTTGCAGCTCACATCCCACAGCACTCCAAAACCCGTAGTCCCTATTCCGGAACCCTGTCGCTGCAATGTTTTGTGATATGGTCGACACATTCCAATTTGTAGAATTCACATCTTGTATGAAGTCGTTACATCTGATTATTTGTTCTTCTTTTACCATGTTGGGTTCTAGCTTACTGGCAAATTGTTGATTAATTGATAGCCACATGAAGTTGAAGATTCTGGGCATTTTCTAAGTTTTTCTTTTTCTTTTTCTTAAATTTTATTTATGTTTTTTTCTTTTTTCCTAAAAAACTTTGATCCATGCATAAAAGAAGGAGATAAAAATTCTAATAATATTTTTACAATAATATATATATATATATATATATATATATATATATATTTTCTAGGAATCATATATAAGATACTTGAGTATAAATTCTTAGATCTTTACTATGATGTAAATTTAATTTGTAAGATCTTTTGGAGAGAATTAAAAATAATTAGATATAAAATTCTATAAATTTCATAACAACACATTATTTTAACTATCTATTTTGGTATTTTCATTGTGTATTTTAAAGCTTTTGTCACAATACGTGGCATTGAGTGCCAAACCACATTGGATAAGTGTTATAGCAGATTAGTTTATGATTATTAATCTACTTTTTATTTTTGAATCTTTCATCCATTGTACAAATTTCTATCTATCAAAGGTTTAAGAGTTTAGTAGAAAAATATTTTTTAACTTAACATTCTTGTCAAGTAAAGTATTGAGAGTGTTTTAGAAAGCTTATTGTTGTTATTTTCTTTAAAATGGTAGCTTAGCCATTTAATGAAGCTTGACACTTTTGACCTACATTTTCACTCTTTGATTCTTCTATGGCAAAATAAAAGATGCTTAACTTATATTGCAACTACTTATTTTTTACATCATAAGAATTGTGAACTTTTTATTTTTTTGACATTTAGAATTATTCAAAAGTAAGAAAAATATTAGTTTTAAGTTGTATGGCATTTAAACAAATTTGTGACACATAGAGCTTAAGAATTAGTATTTAAGTGCAAAAAAACTGAATTAAATGAGAAAAAATATATATATAAATGAATTATATTCAAGATTTAGAGCTAAGCCATGTACAAACCATGGTGAATTAAAAATGAGCTAGAATGCTACAACACCAATTTACAACAATCAAGTAACTATTAGCTAATGCTACCAATTGCATTGTGATATTATTAGACAATTAATGAACAATAGTAGATTGTGAGGAAAAAATTCATTTTTCAACTTAAAATTATAAGATGGCTTCAATTAAGAATTTATTGTAATTGGTGGAATAAATTAGAAAAAGAAAATAACTAGCAAAAAATTAAAAAACATAAAATAAATCAAAGAATTATAATCAAGCAATTACACACTATTCAACTAGTCACAATTTGTTCACTAGATTTTTGTGTAGTAAAAAATTAAAATTAAAACTAAAAGATAAAAAATATATTTTAAAATAAATAATTTTAGTGTCTTTTTAATGATGTTAAAAAGTATCATAATCTAAGGTAATATAAATAAGTAATAAAGATTTAAATATATATATATATATATATATATATATATATATTCTTTTCTAAAGGATAACTTATTTAAGAGATTAAGGATTTGAGCCTCACCAAGGCTCATAAATAGAAAATGAAGTTGTGTTGGATACACAACAAAGCCTTAGTCTTATCCTCCTACTTACATCTAAAGTACTACAATTCATATGTAAAATGTGTACCTCTTATTGCAAAGACTATATTAGCCACTAGTTCTTCTATTTTCTACTATTAAAACTATTTTTCTAAATTTTTTATTTCAATATGGTATTTAAAAAAACCTAATTAATCCAAGAATCTTTTAGCACTTTCAAATCTTACTCAATTCCTTCATAATGGTCTCCTCAAGTGATTAAAATTATTTTTATTTAAGTCTTAAGAAATTACTTTAAATTTTTAATAAATTCTTAATAATTTAAAAAAAATATTATAATATTTTTTTAATTATAAAATTAATTTGAAGCTAATTTTTTGTACTTTATTAATTATAGTATTATAATAAATTTATATTAATTAAAATTCTTATTTTTTCTATATATAATTTAAAAGATATATGATTTTTTTAATGCTTCTTCTACCTACTGAGTAACATTTATAGGTTTATATATATATATATATATATATATATATATACATATATATAACTAATATATGTAGATAGAAGATCAATATAAACATTGGTTTCAATGAATCAATATTAATTTTATAATGAAAAAAAAAAAAAAAAAAAAAAAAAAAAAAACTACAAAATTAGCTAATATATATGCCTCTAAATCTTATCAAGATTCTATTTTTGTGACTTCTTTATCCTAATAAGACTCTTACAATTCATAAACTCTTCTAAATTTTAATAATTAATTAAAAAATAAAAATACTTTGTAGTTCTAAAACATTTAAATCTAAAAAAATTAAAACTATATTTTTAATGATTTTACTAATTAAGATCCATTGGTGGGACCTGTACATATATAATTAATTAGCAGTCATTGGCAATTTTCAATGGCAAGTTTTACTTGCAAATTCTAGATGGTGGCAAGTACTTAGGAACATGTGACTAAATATCAATTATTCATCAAATTTAGAATTTTTTAATATCTTTAATTTTTTAAGATTTTAAAGTCTTAAATTATATATATTTTTGAAATCTTTAGATTTGTAAAAAATTTAAAACTTTTCTAAAATTCTAAAAATTATAGATTTTTATTATCTTTAAGATGTATAGATTTAATTTTTTTTTAATTTCAACTGTTATTTGGCATTTTAAAATTATTTTCAATCCTAAAATATTAATTTTAAATAATAAAGTATATTTTAAATATTAAAGTATATTTTAATATTAAATTTTAATAAATTTATAATTTAAAAAAAATACTTTAAGTGTTGTTTTATATATTCTATTGCTAATCATAGGTTATGTGATTTGAATTGCCAACATCAAGGATTTAGTGGCAATATATTACATTTGAATTTTGTTATTTTTTATTTTTAGAAAGAAGATGTAATATTAATTTTTTGATTTTGGTTTTGGTATATTTTTTACTTGTAAGTATTATAGTCAAAGGTTTTTCAATGTAGCCCTACTTTTTATTCTAATTATTTAATTTATTGATGTAATATATGATTAAAGTTAAGTTGATGGCTTGTAAGTTCTTTGTATAGTGTCATATGACATAGCATGGGGTGCCAAATCATGTCAAATAGATGTATCCTACTTTAGTATAGTGGATCTGCATCCATTTAGTATTTTATGTTGATTGATCTTATTAGTGTTAATTAGGATTTTAAAATTTAGATAAAAAGCCTCTTTAATTTGACATTATTGTCAAGTCAAATCTTAAGAGTGTTTTAAGAAAGAAAGCTTAAGTTTGTAAGATTTTGCTTGGCTATAGTAATTTATCTTATTTTTATACAAAATCCTTGACATCTCTATCAATTGGTTTTATTTTGGGATCTTATCAAGCTAGAAGTTGTGATTGCATTAGTATCAAGTAGCTTGATTATATATATTGTGTAGCAATAACAAAGAGCTCTCTTCCTCATAAATTGAATCAACCATTTGATTTTTTATTGAAAGTAAGTAGAATTTTTTAAAACAATCCTTGAGCCAAAATTATAATGCAATAAAATTGGCTCAACATTAATAAGGCCATAAAAGATAATTACTAAATTTGAAGGTAATAAAGATAGAACTAATAATAGCATCAATAGAGGAAAAATTCCTTAACAATAATGACTACAAAACAGATAACATGCCAAGAAAGCCATGAAATGAATAGAAGCTTCAGAGAAATTCTATTAATGAAGATTTTGAGGATTAAGGTGTTTTGGAAGGAAGTAGCTAAAAATAATAATTTCTAGTTACAAATTCAATACCAACTAATTTTCATCATATCAAGTATTAAGAATTATCTTCAACTTCTATTCGAATCTTTTCTCTAAA